TCCAACCAGCTGCAATGCAGGAATCGCAGCTACAGAATCCCTAAAAAGTTCAGAATGGATGGACAATTAACGGGAAGATGTGTAGGCACCCTGCAAGCAAACGAGGATGGATGTTCCTTGTCAAATAACTCAGGCATAGGCAAACTCAGCCCTCCAGATGTTTTGGGACTACAACTCCCATCGTCCATAGCTAACAGGACCAGTGGTCAGGGATGATGGGAGTTGTAGTCTCAAAACATCTGGAGGGCCAAGTCTGCCTATGCCTGGAATAACCTCTCTGCAAGCAAATCTGACTGCAGGCTCTGTCAGCTTGCATTTCTTGGTGCAGAAAGTACTGATCTGATGTGTAGAGATCTTTCCTATTCTAATTAATCCAAGAGGGTTCTGGAAGCTTCTCTGTGCAAAAGAAGCAAGCAGAAGGTTCATGATGTTTGGGTTATTCCTTCAGAGAAGCTGAGTAAAGCTGGCTTAAACTGGTTCTGTTATCTCTGACTATAATAATAAGGCCAGAAGGAGCCCGGGTTTCAGTCTTTTCTATCTCTTTTTCCTTCTGGTGTGGTGTTCTGTATATAGTGTTAAGGTTTTAGTCTTCTTATAAGTTATTGTAAACTTAAGTGACGTCTGCTGCAACTGGATTTCTTATGGATAGTGCCAATCCTGAATGTATTTGATTTGTTACCATTATGCTCATTTGCCTTCAGTAGCAGTAAAGCTCTGCTGGATGAAATATTAATTTGTTTTTTGTTTAGTCGTTTAGTCGTGTCCGCTTCTTCGTGACCCCCTGGACCAGAGCACGCCAGACACTCCTGTCTTCCACTGCCTCCCGCAGTTTGGTCAAACTCATGCTGGTAGCTTCGAGAACACTGTCCCACCATCTCGTCCTCTGTCATCCCCTTCTCCTTGTGCCCTCCATCTTTCCCAACATCAGGGTCTTTTCCAGGGAGTCTTCTCTTCTCATGAGGTGGTCAAAGTCTTGGAGCATCAGCTTCAGGATCTGTCCTTCCAGTGAGCACTCAGGGCTGATTTCCTTCAGAATGGAGAGGTTGGATCTTCTTGCAGTCCATGGGACTCTCAAGAGTCTCCTCCAGCACCACAATTCAAAACCATCAATTCTTCAGTGATCAGCCTTTTTAATGGTCCATCTCTCACTTCCATACATCACTACTGGGAAAACCATAGCTTTAACTATACAGGGCTGATTTCCTTAAGAATGGAAAGGTTTGGTCTTCTTGCAGTCCATGGGACTACTGCCTCTGGTCTATTTTTTGGGAATCCTGCAACGTGTTTAAGTTTTTACTCTGCTAGCCATACATTGGAATCTGCTCTGGATCAATATTGAGTGGAATTCCAATGACATGCTCAATGAAGACCAGGCATAGTGCAAGCACTGTGTACGTTTTGTGCAAGCAAATCAGGTTGCAAGCTCAATGAATAGGTCATATGTTTACCTACAGAGTTTGCCCGCCTTTGCTGATGTCATGTTTTTAGAAACTGCTCTCTTGTTTTATTGATGGTTGCTATAATTCACAGCACGTTGCACCCTGCTTGGCTATCAGTGAAGCGTGGGTTATAAATCTTTGAAATTAATGAATCAACCTTCCTTATAGGCTCAGTGTGAGTATAAAAGGGGAGGGAGAGAACCTTTCACTTTGGCTGTTTTGAGGTCCTTAGAAAAACTCAAGATATAAGCCGAATAAATACATAAATGAAAGCATATCTTGGCAGACCTAAGTGATGGGAGATGGCTTTAAAAACAAAAAAGGCTCTGAAATTCTTAGAAAGTTGAATCCGGCATAAAATACCACATCCTGTTTGTTCTTTCCCCTCTGCACACAAAAGCCTTTATTAGCCTGGGACAAAGTGTCCAAGTTAAGAAAACCGCTTCCTTCTCATGCAACCAGTCACAATCTCTGCAGAGTAGACCAAGAACTTTGTAACACCCTAATCTCAAGTGGAACATCCTGAACGCGGAAAGAAGGAAGCCCCTCTCGAGGTCTGCCCACACTTGTGGAAAGGATAGACAAGTCAATCAATCAAATCTTTATTATGGTCATAGACCAGGATAAATAGGATGGGGAACAAGAGTCAGACAAGGCTCCTTCTTCATTTCTACCATTTTCAATTACCTTTTTCAAATTGCATTTGTAGGCTATTTCATTATTCGGACGCACAAGTTGCATTCCTGATTTATTCCAATAAATCTGCGTGCATCAGTCTCTAAATCTTTATTGATTCACGTCGTATGTAAGCCAATAAAAGCAAACTCATTTCATCCATACTTAAGAATAACTGAAATGTACTTGCATCTAAAGAAACTTGACAGTGCCTCTCTGCTTGGTGGTACGCTATTTGATTGTGGTACAATATTTGATTGCAGTCTAGGACCCACGTACCTAGGGGACCGCCTCTCCTGGTATGCCCCACGGAGGACCTTAAGGTCCACAAATGACAACACTTTGGAGGTCCCAAGTCACAAGGTGGTTAGATTGGTCTCAACTAGGGCCAGGGCCTTTTCAGTACTGGCCCCGACTTGGTGGAATGCTCTGTCCTGAGAGACTAGGGCCCTGCAGTACTTGACATCTTTCCGCAAAGCCTGCAAGATGGAGCTGTTCCGCCTGGCCTTTGGTTTGGACTCAGTCTGACCCTTATGTCTTCACTCCCCTTGCGGTTTTGATCTATGGGCTACTTTTAAAATCAGGCTGCATTTTAAATTGCACTTTAACCTGTATTTTAAATTGCCCCCCCCCATTATGTTTCTATTGTAATTTTAGTGGTGTTAGCAGCCCTGAGCCCGGCTCTGGTCAGAGAGGGCGGGGTATAAATAAAATTTATTATTTATTATTATTATTATTTCCACCTGGGGGTTTTGCCCCTGGTACAGTGTATCAGCAGCTTTGGTGGTGGAGCAGGATGGATGTCTCTGCAAGCTGAGGACCCACCTGGCAGGTGGAACTAGCAGTGATGTTATAGGAATTCTAAGGTTTTATACAGTATATATAAATTAGGTAAAGGGACCCCTGACCATTAGGTCCAGGCGTGGCCGACTCTGGGTTTGCGGCGCTCATCTTGCTTTATTGGCCGAGGGAGCCGGCGTACAGCTTCCGGGTCATGTGGCCAGCATGACTAAGCCACTTCTGGCGAACCAGAGCAGCGCACAGAAACACACAGTTTACCTTCCCGCCGGAGTGGTACCTATTTATCTACATGCACTGATGTGCTTTTGAACTGCTAGGTTGGCAGGAGCAGGGACCGAGCAATGGGAGCTCAGCCCGTTGCAGGGATTCGAACCGCTGACCTTCTGATCGGCAAGCCCTAGGCTCTGTGGTTTAACCCACAGCGCCACCCGTGTCCCTATATTTAAATTAAATGTTCATAAATGTACAAGGTAAACACATACATAAGTATATGAGCCACATGTCTGGAATAGTGCAGGAGAGCAACCCTGAAGCCATTTTGACTCTCCCAGTGACCTCAAATGTTTCTCTGCAATGAGGAAGCCTCCCCATTGTCTCTTTGCTCACTAATCTTTTCTTAAGGGCGTATTTGTGTATGAATAGGGTGAGCCTGTGACCTGGATTCAGGAACTAAGTATTTAGCATCTCAGAAGGAACGGCCAGGCTGCCCAGGTAAAGCAACCAGTGACCATTATCAGGTATCCTGACAAACAGGATTTCTGTTGTAGACCGCCTCCTTCAGTGATGTATGTATGATGTTTTGGGGGGTGATCTTGGGCTACAGGGTGGGCAATTTCAAATGTCTATATAAGGGCTTGCGCACCATTGTTCTGGGTTCCTCCTGCCTCCTGCGTGTGGTGAGTGGGACCCTGTTGCAACAGATCAGGCTTACGAGCTACTTTGCTTCTCAATATTCTCTGGCTGGCTTCTGTTATTTTCTCCTTCTGCTAGGGAACCTAAAGTACATAAGGACTCTGTACACCCTCTTGGATACCCCATAAGCAGTGCAGATTTATGTATAAGCTAAACAAGCTATAGCTTAGGGCCCCACTCACTTGGGTGGGGCCAAAAAAAAATTAAAGGGGAAAAAACTGGATACTTCTTCTTAAATGTATTTCAGTTCAACAATTACTTTGATAAAATACAGTCATACCTCGGGTTACAGATGCTTCAGGTTGCATGTTTTCGGGTTGCGCACTGCGCCAAACCTGGAAGTACTGGAATGGGTTACTTCCAGGTTTCTGCACTCGCGCATGTGCAGAAACACTAAATTGTGCTTTGAACATGAGCAGAAGCGTCGAGTTGCAACCCGCGCGTGCACAGATGCGGCGCTGTGGGTTGCGAACACTGCGGGTTGTGAACGTGTCTCCCGCACAGATCACGTTCGCAACCCGAGTGTCCACTGTACATATTTTGTTATGTGCAAATGGCTTTAGATACCTATTAAGTCCATAAATTACCATATAGCGTATATTCGACACGAAAAAACAGTGACAATTTGTTGTGGACAAAGGACAGCTGGACATATAAAGGGCCCCATTACCTTCAGTAGCTTAGGGCCTCAGCAAACCTAAATCCGGCCCTGCCCATAAGGGAAAAGGGGCAGTTTTTTTCTTATATGTTGTTGTTGTTGTTTAGTCATTTAGTCATGTCCAACTCTTCGTGACCCCCTGGACTAGAGCACGTCAGGCACTCCTGTCTTCCACTGCCTCCCGCAGTTTGGTCAAACTCATGCTGGTAGCTTCGAGAACACTGTCCCACCATCTCGTCCTCTGTCGTCCCCTTCTCCTTGTGCCCTCCATATTTCCCAACATCAGGGTCTTTTCTAGGGAGTCTTCTCTTCTCATGAGGTGGCCAAAGTACTAGAGTCTCAGCTTCAGGATCTGTCCTTCCAGCAGCGGCGTAGCGTGGGTTGTCAGCACCCGGGGCAAGGCAAGTAATTTGCGCCCCCTAACCCGGGGCAAGGCAAGTAATTTGCGCCCCGTAACCCCTAACCTGCCGCCGCTGCCAGCTTCTTCTTGCTGCTGCCTGGTCTGGTCTGGTGTGGTTCTCTCCCGCGCTCAGCGCTGCACTGGGCGGCCGCTGCACTGTCCCTCCCCCAGATAGTCCCTCGCTCTCTCTCCGCACCGCATGCCTGGCACCCACCCCCTCCACAGTGGGCGGCGACCCAGCGGCTCGGATCGGATTCGCGCAGCCAGCACTGCAGTGAGAGAGAGTGAGTGAGCCAGGTAGGGGCAGAGAGCTGCGAGTGCGAGCGCGCCCCCCCCCAGATGTTGCGCCCGGTGCGGCCGGCCCCCCTTGCACCCCCCACGCTACGCCACTGCCTTCCAGTGAGCGCTCAGGGCTGATTTCCTTCAGAATGTAGAGGTTTGATCTTCTTGCAGTCCATGGGATTCTCAAGAGTCTCCTCCAGCACCAGAATTCAAAAGCATCCATTCTTCGGCGATCAGCCTTCTTTATGGTCCAGCTCTCACTTCCATACATCACTACTGGGAAAACCATGGCTTTAACTATACAGATAACAGTGAGCAATTCTTTCTTCCAGGCTAGGGCTTGCTTCCTTGTTGCTTGTGCTGGCTGGGACGGATGGGAGTCCGAAACGTCTGGAGGGTGCCACGTTGGCGAAAACCGACTTGTGCCGCTGATGAATCAGCCACAAGGACATTCTCTTTCCTTTCACAACCTTACTGTTTTGTTTGCAAGATTAATTGTGGCAGGGCTCACGTTTGCACCCTGAGAAGGGATTTCCTGCTTGGTTGCCCAACTTGCTATTGACCTCATTGGATTCACAGGGAACATCATCAGATTGGCAGCTGCCTCAGGTGACAAGGGAAGAGGAAGAGGAGGAGGAGAGCAGGTGGGAGCGAAACCTCCATCAAGGCTCAGATGCAGAAGGAAACCTTCCATGCCAACGCTAGATGGCAGTCTAGGGTTATGCTTTGGAGACTTCACAGTACATTTAAAGCAGTACCAATCCAATTTCATCCGTCATGCCTCCCCCCACAGAATCCCGGGAAGTGTAATTTCTTATTTCTTTTTTTAAAAAAATTGCATTTAATTTATTTGTTAACATTCTTATATTACATCGGTAAATGTTGTCATATTACATTACAGACTTACTATAATATCATTTCCAACATGTATACAAAAATTATATACAAATTTTATATACCTAGAAAGAAATTGAAACAAAAAGAAGGAACAAAGAGAAAAAACAAAAACAAATCCCCCCCCAAATCATATGCGTACCAACACACTAGACTTCCTGTCTTTCCCACTGTATATTCCTTTTTTTACAAATGAATGTACTCTTATTATTGTATATTTCCTTATCCTTTTGTATATTATCCTTATATATTATTCCTTATATATTATTGTATATTATAATATACATTCTTATATCAATATGTGCCCTTAGTCTTATTTCTCAACTCAGTCTCACTCCAACGCATAGCTGTCAACTTTTCCCTTTTTTAAAGGGAAATTTCCTTATTCCAAATAGGATTCCTCGCAAGAAAAGGGGAAAGTTGACAGCTGTGCTCCACCGTCAATCAAATGCTAGCACACATAGCGAACCTTTACTGTATAGGAAGGGTTAAGGATGCTGAGAGTTGTTAGGAGACAGTTGCCAACAGATAAAAACATTGGCGGGATTATTGCAGTAACCTGCAGCTTCAGAAGAGTATATCTATTTAAAGTCAGTGCTTATTTCTGGGGGGGACACAGGGGGGTGCATACCCCAAAGCATTTTGTGAATCTATGTTTGGCCTCATTGAGGGGCAGAATTTCAATATGAGTAGGAAAATGAGAGTACCCCTAAACCTTTTTTCTTAAGGAAAAAGCACTGGAATTGCATGAACACTGTTCCACAGCATTTGATATTTTCATTTACATACATTCATTCGAAATAAGATGGGTTTATGAAGCAATTCTATATCCTCCCACCACACTGACAAATAATTCTATGAAACAGTAGCCTATATCCGGAATCACTGTTCAGTGTTGGACATCATATTTGCTGAATACACAAAGCTTCACAGCTTGTCTTTCATTGCTTCATTTAAAGATTTTCAGAGACTTTGAGACAAAAGATTTCATTGCGGACTTGTTATGGTTTGAAGGAATTCTATAAAAGATTGTCTACTGTGTATGTACATGGTCATTGTGTTGCCTAGACATTGCTGACGTCATCTTCCATGTGACAGCCCTTCAGGTCTTTGAGGATGACCATCATATCACCTCTCCGTTTTCTCTTCTCCAGGCTAAACAGACTCAACTCCCTCAACTGCTACTCATAAGTTTTGGCTACCAGATTCTTGGTCATCCTCTTCTGCACACCTTCCAGCTTGTCAACATCCTTAAATTGTGGTACCCAGAATTGGACACAGTATTCCAGGTGTGGTCTGACCAAGGCAGAATAGAGTGGGACTATGACTTCCCTTGATCTGGACACTAGACTTCTGTTGATGCAGCCTAGAATAGCATTAGCCTTTTTTGCTGCTGCATCAGCCTGATGTCTCACGTTCAGTTTGTGGTCTACTAAGAACTCTAAGACTCTTGACTTTACATGCACCAGACCAAAACCATGATTACCCAACCACAAACTTCATAGAAAAGTCTGTGAGAAGGAAATAATTAAAATTAGCATGCTGTCCTTATGTTGACAACACCGGGGCTATAAATAACAATTTGCAAAGTGCATGCATGACAGTGACACTCAACAGGAGTTTGGCCAACTCACCCATTTGTACATCAACGAAACTAACAAGAGCAGAGATTCATCACATAGGTGGTGAACAGTTCACAAGGAACACATGAGAAGGATTGATGCCCAGATAATCTGTCACTGCAGCTTTTGTCAATCTAGTGCCCTCCAGATGTTCTGAACTGCAACTCCCTTGGCAAGGGTCAAGAGACACGTGAAATACAGCTCCCTTCTCATAATCCTCTGTAGCATGGCAAAGGATCCTTAAAGTTAATTCATCAATTGCTTTTTGCATGTCTCTCCATCATATTTACAAACACAAGCATGTTGTTGTTGTTGTTTAGTTGTTTAGTCGTGTCTGACTCTTTGTGACCCCCTGGACCAGAGCACGCCAGGCACTCCTGTCTTCTGCTGCCTCCCACAGTTTGGTCAAACTCATGCTGGTAACTTTGAGAACACTATCCAACCATCTCGTCCTCTGTCGTCCCCTTCTCCTTATGCCCTCCATCTTTCCCAACATCAGGGTCTTTTCTAGGGAGTCTTCTCTTCTCATGAGTTGGCCAAAGTATTGGAGCCTCAGCCTCAGGATCTGTCCTTCCAGTGAGCACTCAGGGCTGATTTCCTTCAGAATGGAGAGGTTTGATCTTCTTGCAGTCCATGGGACTCTCAAGAGTCTCCTCCAGCACCACAATTCAAAAGCATCAATTCTTTGGCAATCGGCTTTCTTTATGGTCCAGCTCTCACTTCCATACATCACTACTGGGAAAAAGCAAGTAAAAATAGGACAGGAAACAACAGATGATAGGTTTGGAAACAATACAAAATGAATACCTAAGACAGAGAAGTTTTTGCCCAGGTGGAAAAGCTTTCCAGAACAAAAATGTAGGGATTTATAGGGACAGAACGACCTAAATTGTGTAGAAATTTATTTATTTATGCTACTACAACAGCAAGAATACTACTTGCCCAAAAGTGGAAAAAAGCAGAAGTCCCAGCAAAGGAAGAATGGATACAAAAACTTATAGAATATGCAGAAATGGCGAAACTTACCGGAAGAATAAGAAATCAAGATAACAAACTTTTTATAAAAGAATGGAAATGATTTATTGAATATTTACAGATAAATTGCAAACAGATAAAAACCTTGGCAGGATTATTGTAATAACCTGAAGTTTTGTAATCCTGCCAGTGTTTTTATTTGTTTGCAATTTATCTGTAAATATTCAATTTAAAGTAGATAATTAAATGAGCAAATTAACTGAATTTGGATTTGCAGAAGATATTTTTTAAAAAAACAATTTAAGGAACCGCAGAAAGAGGGGGAAGGAAGTCAAACTTTGAAAAGTGTTGTAAGAGAGTCAGTGTCAGAGAGGGGAATAAAGGAAAATGACCCTACCAATATCAGAATTATAGTGTTCTACCTAAAAAAAAAACCACGAGGAAATGAACTGTGTCTCAGAGAATGCATCGTTTGAGAAGAAATCATTTTGATGTGTCTTTTTACCTTTGCTATCACTGAAATGTGTAAGAATGTATGCTACTATGCCTTTTTCATGTATCATTGAATGTATCATTTCACTGTGTCTTCTTTACCTTTTGCCATCACTGAGATATATATGAGTGTATCACTGAAATGTACAAAGATGTATCCTTACTGAAATGTATCCAGGGAAAAGTACCTGTGCGTGCTACTGGAGCAGTAATGTTCTGAGGAGGCAGGCAGGAAATTGCCCGCAAGAGCCACATACAATGCTACAGTGCGTGCTCTTGACGGATGCCTTGCCAGGACGGAGAAGGGACTGCATAAGCGACAGTCAGTCCTTCTCCTCCTTTAGAGTAGCCTTGCAGACAATCTCTCCAGCCGTGGGCAGGCTGCGCAAGAGCAAGGAAGCCAGGCTAGCAAGCGTGTATCCATCTCTCGCTGCCCGGGCTTCCTACAGCTTGCGACTTGACTTCCAGCCGCAGGAGGCTGAGCAAGGCTGAAGACGGTAGCCTGGGCAGTGAGGTTTGATGGATCTGCGCTGCTGTCTGAGCTCCTCTAAGCCTTGCTCCAGCCTCCATGCTGGAGAGCGCAGAAGACTCGCAAGGCTAAAAAGCCAACTTTGAAAAAATCTCTCATCTCTACCTCTTTTTCTTTTCAGTCCTTTCTCCACCCCTTCTTTAACCTCTGGATCAGTATTTTTATCTAGATTAACGTTTTAGTTTGGGGGAATATTATAAAAAGAAACTTTGCAGCTTTTATTTTAGTATACAATAAAAACAGATTAAACAAAACACAAAAGAAGGAAATAGCACAGAAGAAGAAGAGAAAATGGAAAGCCATTTACCAGAGGTAGATCTTAACCCTTGCCTCACCTGGGAGCTTCTCTGGGCAGGAATTCCCTCGGCTTAAGTGGGGTGGGGGGAGAGTGGCAGGATCCAAAATGCAGCAGTCTGATTGGTCCTAGAACAATAGGATTCAGAATGCAGCAGTCTGATTGGTCCACAGGAGCCACCCAATCCAGCTCCAGGTGGAAGTGAATCCACGACCTGATTGGCCTACAGGTGAATCCTGGAATTAGCCAATCATGTGGGGCCCATTGTGTAAATAATGTATATAAAGCAGATATTCTGAGGGAACTTCCATTCCTCCTCACCACTATGAGCTGAATAAAGAGCATGAAATCCACTCTCGACTCCGAGTATATTTCAGAAACCTTTGGTTGCCTCCAGACAGCCTTTTTCTTTTTGCAGAAGGGAAAATTCAAGTGTGTTCTGGAAACCGAGGGTTGCACAATTAGATTTGCTGGCTCTGCAACCGTATAATAACATTTGTTGCTACAATTAAAGTGGAGAAACGCTCTCTGCTGCCTGAACACAATAAATCCACTTTGGCCTTTGTGCGGTTCAGACAATGTGCCATGTAGCATGGAATGAATGAATGATTTTAGGGGGCAGGTGTGCAAACACCCCACAAGCAGAGCAGGATGAAAACGGAGAAATCTGAGGGTTCCCTTGGACAAAAAACAAGGACACCAGGCAGGAATACCAGAGCCAAACAGCAGCCAGTGGGCTTGGTCTTTATTGAAGACTGTCGCGACAGGACTCCCACCTGCCTCAAGGTGGAACAAGATGGAAGCCCCAAACAAAAGAGCCCCCAAACTTTTATTAGCTGCTAATCCCCATGTTACACCCCCCCCAAACTACATCACTAATACGTCATGGTTACATCATGAAAGGGGAGGTCTGGTGGCAGTAATCTGAGCATCCTGGACCCTGCCCCCTGGTTCTCCTTGCCCTCCACCAAACACCCATCAAGTGTAACAAAAAAGATATTTACATTTCCCTATTTCCCAGCCAAGATAATCACACCCTTTTGTCTTCATCTGGGTTTGTTATTTCTGGAATGGCTACCTGTCTGGCACTCAGGTATCAGGATGCCAGGGATTATCACTCAGGCAGAGGGGCTGCTGAGCAGCTGAACTCACATGTCTATATGAATTTCTGAAGTTTTCCCAGTGATCCAGTACATAGAGACATTTATCAGTGAATTCTTACATTTGGTATTGTGCAGCAGAGGCCCTTTGAATAGATAGGAAGAAACTGCGATGAAGTGTTTTGTGGGGACAAGCCACAAAAGCGATTGTGCTGATTTTGGTAGTGGGCTGCATGTGCATGATATCTGCTGGAGGGGCAACCCCCCCCCCCCAACCTATACATAAGTTCCTGTAACAGAATGCAGGATAATGCTCGTTTTCGTATCGCCACCCCCACATCCCCAGAAATAAAAATTGGGGCAAATGCTGGTTAAAGACCAGGCGCGGTCTGAGCCCTGCGTCGTCGTCATCATCATCATCATTATCATCATAATTTATTATTTGTACCCCGCCCATCTGGCTGGGTTTCGCCAGCCACTCTGGGGGGCTTCCACAGAGACCAAAAATACACTAAAATGTCACACATTAAAAGCTTCCCTAAAGAGGGAAGGATCAGGACCAAAACTTCCCCTGTGTTGCTGAGTCTGCCATGTCTTTTTTATTATTATTATTGACTTAAGAAAATTATACTGACAGCAAAACGAAGAAGCCTAAATAACAACAACAACAACAACAAATTTATTATTTATACCCCGCCCATCTGGCTGGGCTTCCCCAGCCACTCTGGGCGGCTTCCAACAAAATATTAAAATACTGTAATACATCAAACATTAAAAGCTTCCCTAAACAGGGCTGCCTTCAGATCTCTTCTAAAAGTCTGGTAGTTGTTCTTCTCTTTGACATCTGGTGGGAGGGTGTTCCACAGGCCGGGTGCCACCACCGAGAAGGCCCTCTGCCTGGTTCCCTGTAGCTTTGCTTCTTGCAATGAGGGAACCGCCAGAAGGCCCTCGGCGCTGGACCTCAGCGTCCGGGCAGAATGATGGGGGTGGAGACGCTCCTTCAGGTATATTGGGCCGAGGCCGTTTAGGGCTTTAAAGGTCAACACCAACACTTTGAATTGTGCTCGGAAACGTCGTGAGAAGGAAGGCTGAATCGAGGGTCACCCAGGCTAGAGAATCTCTCCCACCCTGGAGAGCTGAGCTGTGGGGCCTCTGCCTTCAGCGCAGAGGCCGGCCTGAGACAGATGGAGTGGTTTACACCCGGGGAAGGGGGGGCAGAGATGAGTTGAAAGACGATGACACCAGAGACACGTTTGATGTCTCCAGTTTCTCAGTTCCAGCCTGATGAAAAGGAAAAGTCTGGGAAAGGGAGGGGTGGACACCAACACACACATCGCCTTTTGAAGTGCAGCCCGGTAATTGCCACCACCACCAGCCTCTTTAAACCTTTTCTGCCAGGTGCGGAGACCTCCGTCTCTCTCCATCTCTGATATCGGCAGCGCCCAAAGGGATGAAAGGTTCCTTCGCCCCGCAAGGCCAGTTTCTGCAGAATCAAGGCAGGTGGGAGGAAGGAAGGTTTTTCTTTCGGGGTGAAGGGCGGGAGGAGAGATGGAGGAAGATGAAAGCTTCCCTCCGCCCAGACCTGAACTGGCCTTGACCTTGGATGAAGCCGTGTGAAGTCGGGAAGATTCTGGATTGGAAATCGAGGTGAGTTCGGTTCATCTCCTGTACTGAAAAAAAAATATATTATCTGGGCAGCATCAGTGGAAAAATACAGCAACATTAACACTAGATCATAGGTAAAGGTAAAGGGACCCCTGACCGTTAGGTCCAGTTATGGCCGACTCTGGGGTTGCGGCGCTCATCTCACTTTGTTGGCCGAGGGAGCCGGCGTACAGCTTCCGGGTCATGTGGCCAGCATGACTAAGCCGCTTCTGGCGAACCAGAGCAGCACACGGAAACGCCATTTACCTTCCCGCCGGAGCGGTACCTATTTATCTACTTGCACTTGGACGTGCTTTCGAACTGCTAGGTTGGCAGGAGCAGGGACTGAGCAACAGGAGCTCACCCTGTCGCGGGGATTCGAACCGCCGACCTTCTGATCGGCAAGTCCTAGGCTCTGTGGTTTAACCCACAGCGCCACCCGCGTCCCTTACACTAGATCATAGCAGCATCTAAAACAACACAAAGCCAGTGTTTAGAGATTAGGGCCCCTTTAGATGGCCTGTGTGGTGCAACCACATTTAGACTCCTGTGTGGACGGTTCTGGTCGCCTCATCTCCAAAGGGATATTCTAGAGTTGGAAAAGGTGCAGAGAAAGGTAACCAAAATTATCAAGGGGGTGGAGTGAGTCCCCTTTCGAGAAAGGATACAGCGCTGGGGACTTTTTAGTTCAGAGTAAAAATGAGTAGTAATAAATATTCTGTTGGGTGGCTTCCAACAGAATATTAAAATACAATAGTCTATTAAACATTAAATTCTTCCCTAAAGAGGGATGCCTTCAGATGTCTTCTAAAAGTCTAGTAGTTGTTCTTCTCTTTGACATCTAGTGGGAGGGCGTTCCACAGGGCGGGGGCCACTACCGAGAAGGCCCTCTGCCTGGTTCCCTGTAACTTGGCTTCTCGCAGGGAGGAAACCACCAGAAGGCCCTCGGCGCTGGACCTCAGTGTCCGGGTAGAACAATGGGGGTGCAGACGCTCCTACCTATATGGCTTTAAAAGAAGATTAGCCGACTGGCACCAATTGGCCGGCCAATTGGTGCCAAAGAAGGATAGAATTTTTTTATGTACGCAACAACAGCAGCAAGAATACTCATCGCGAAGTATTGGAAGACACAAGATTTGCCCACCCAGGAAGAATGGCAGATGAAGTTGATGGACTACAGGGAACTGGCGGAAATGACTGGCAGAATCCGAGACCAGGGAGAGGAGTCGGTGGAAGAAGATTGGAAAAAGTTTAAAGACTATCTACGGAAATATTGTAAAATTAATGAATGTTAGAAAAATGTCGAAATGAAGTTATATGGCTTTAGTAGAAATATTATAAGGATTTAAGTACAGATAGGTTAATAGAGTATTAAAGGAAAAAATAAGGTTAGAATGAGTTAAGATAATTATAGGACAGAAAACAGAGGAAGATGGAAAGGAATTGCTGAAATAATTAACAGAAGTGGAATACAAAAAGGGAGGTGTGAGGAGGTCGTGGAAATAAGTGAATGAAAGATGGGATAATGAAATTGTTTGATTTATTTTATTGTCTTTGTCTTGTTTTGTTAATTTGATGTGTTGTATTGTATTGTTTTTCTTTTTCTTTTTTCTTCTTTTTTTTAGTGTTTTTGGAAAAATAATAAATATTATTTTTCTAAAAAAAAGAAGAAGATTAGGCAAATTAATGGAGGAGAAGGCCTCAGTTGGAGGCAGGAATGCTTCTGAATAGCCTGGAAACCACAGGAGGAAAGGGGGCTCTTGAGCTCAGGCCTCATTCGTGGGTTTCCTGCAGGCATCTGATTGGCCGCTGTGAGAAGAGGATGCTGGACTAGATGGAGCATTGGCCTGTCCCAGTCGCCTCTTTTCATGTTCTTTTGCATATCTTGGAACTGTCAGTTTGCACAGAGATTTGTTGCTGCAGCACAGCAAATCCGTTTTGAGGAAAGAGAGGTGTTTTTGTGAATTGGAAAGTGGTGGGGGGGATGCATTTTTAAAATTGGGAGAAATGGAAACACGCTGCGATCATATCAGGTCGAACGCTCCTTTTCGTATAAGGGTCCCATAAACAACGCACAATGAATGTTCAATAAAGGCATGGTGCGGCTTAACCGCTGGGGAAGCTTTGCACAAGTAAATCAGGAGGAATCAGGATAAATAAACGCTGTCAGTATTTTGCCAAGGGATTAAAGAGCATACCTGAACTTTAGGTTTGCACAACTGAGGTGAGCTAAAGCACTGTTCTTCCTTGGCACAACAAATCTCCACCTTTAAAAAAAAGGAAGACTTTCTGCACTTGGGAAATGCGTTGAAAAGAGTGGGATGAACAAGTGATGATCAGAAAGATGGGTAAGCGGCACACAAGCAAATCAGAACAAAGGCTCCGTAATGACCAAACCTCCAGCTAAACTTTGCACAAGCAGATCAATAAATAGGCGTTATTGCTCCTGTGGAGGGGAGTTCCATAGGCTAACTCTGTGCTGCAAGAAGAAGTCTATCCGTCCTGAATCTTCCAACAACGTTCAGGTTCATTGGATGGCCACGAGTTCTCTCATAAGAGCAGAAGAGTTTTTCTCTCTCCATGCCATTCTAGCTCAGCAGCTGCGACTGAATTGCAGGCAGCCTTTGAAGAAAGCGAGATCCCCCCCCCAAGCAGCTGTTTGGCACGGAGGGGGCGGAAGGCAGAGGGCCCACCCTGCTGCCAAAGAGCCGGCTGGTGCAATTCCAGCTGGCTTCAAAGGCCTCCGCGCGCGCATGGATCCTGAGCGCGAGGGCGTCACACCTGTGCATAGGTGTTGCACTCCTGATAGAGACAAGTGTTTGGAAATAAGTTGCAGGGAAGAAATGATCTCCGGCTGAATCAAGGAAAGTATCTTCCAGCATTAGCTCTGGGCTTGTGGCTGGCTAGGCCACTGCAAGAGCAGTCATGTTCACTCCCTGATGGAGATCCGCCTCACCAACAGGCTGCCCTACAGATATTTTTGGGGTCCCATTCCCATCCACCCCATTATTTTTGCTGGAAGCTCCTGATGGGCTGAACCAGCCGTTGGGAAGCCATACCTGGGAAATCCCACAGAGGGCGCAACTGATCCAGATTAGGCTTCCCCACCAAAAAATAAAATTAAAAATCCTGTATGAGGATAGAGGGAACTGGTTGAGAAAAATCTGGGAGACAACACGTGTGACAAAATTAACACACAAAAGGAAAGCTTTCAGTAATAACCAACAAGCCAATTTCATTGAAAGATGGGCTTTATATATTCAGTTGTGGAATGAACAGATAATATTTCTCCTTATTCCTATTCCTCTTTCTCCTTTGTGTAGCAAGGGAATTCCTGTGCAAAGAGGTGAGGTCTCTTTGATACCTGAAAGGTTCATTTGTTGGCAAAGTGGAAAGAATCACCTTTTATGCTCAGATTTGACTTAAGAACTAAAATGGGGGGGGGAGAGACTACAAATATTGGCTTCTGGGCAGCAGTCAAGTGTTAAAAATATTTAAACGATGGCAGCAAGGAAGAGTTTGTCTAAAATGTCAGGGGAACGACTTTCCAAAATGCTGTTTTGTCCTGCTGTCTTGGGGGCAGGGAGAGAATCATCAAATGGTAGAATTGGAAGGGACTCTGGCGGTCATTCTTGCATTGCAACCCCGTGCAATGCAAGAATATGCAGCTGTCCCATACGGGAATCGAACCTGCGACCTTGGCATTATTAGCACCACACTCTAACCAGCTGAGCTACATCCACATATATTTGGGGCTTCACTGGTGGGAACCTCAGGTGTTTAAACAAGAGTCAATGTGGTGTGTTGTGGTTCGAGTGTGGGACTAGGACCTGAGAGAGCAGGGTTCGAATCTGCAAGGAATTCCCACACGGTGCGGTTGATGCTGCCAGCATTCATGTGTCCTTTGCAGACATCTTTGGAGCACAGAGTTGGTCTCTTAATAGGCCCGGTGCCAGAAACCAATTCCCTGTTGAAATAAAAAATATAAGGTCTTATACATATAATAAATGTTCATAACTGCATATATAAACCACATGTCTGAAACCCCACAGAAAAGGTCCTGAAACCATTTTGTCCTTCCCACATTGACCTCAAATATTTATCTGCAAGGTCAAAGGAAAATGGAAAAGCCTCCCCATTGTCTTTTTGTTCACAAATCCTGTCTTAAGGGTATGTCTGTGTATGAATAGGGTGAGCCTGTGACCTGGCTCAGGAACTAAGTATTTATCATTACAAAAGACTGGTCAGGCTCCCCAGGGTATCCAACCATTAACAGGTAACCTGCCAGACAGGAGATAAACCACGACAGGAGATAAACAACAGGAGATAAACAACGCACTCAGATTTCTGTTGTAGACCGCCTCTTCTGTGCTGTAGGTATGATGTATCTGGGGGGTGGTCTTGGACTCCAGGGCGGGCAATTTAAAATGTCTATATAAGGGCAGGCACACCTTTGTTCTGGGTCCTCCTCTTTTCCTGTGTGTGAGGGGATCACCCTGTTGCAACAGTTCAATAAAGATCAGGCTTACGAGCTGCTTTGCTTCTCAATATTCTCTGGTTGGCCTCTGTTATTTTCTCCAACCGATGGAGAACCTACAAAGGACTCTATAAGGGCTCTTGTGTCCCCCATAAGGGAATAAGGGCAGATTTTTGTTTATTACACCGTAGATCACATCCTTGAGGTTCTTCCATTCTGCGCACATGACCGAGCCAGTGTGGACGTGGTCGAGACAGGAGATTATGCCAGGATAACCTTCTTGAGAGACCCCAACAGCAATCTGATGGGGTCCACAATTTTCCTGGATAGACAGACCCTGACTGCCTCAACAGCAAAAACTGGGGTCTTGGGGACCTACAAACAAGTGAGGACTCCAATCCAGAAGCTTTAGACTACAACTCCCATCATCCCTTGCCACTGCCCATGCTGTTTGCCAGGGCGAAGAAGAGCTGGGAGGAGTCCAACAACATCTGGAGATCCACACGTTCCCCATGCCTGGTCCAGGTTTAGACTAGTTTAGGGCCCCCCCCCCCTTCCCCAGAGATAAATCCACTGGGCCACCTCTGGTGTTGACGCTGGTGTGTGTTTATCAGACAGCACAGGTCTGCTGTTGGTGTTAATTAGGATTGTTGTTGCTTTTAACCTCCAGGGCTGGAGCAGAGTCCCTAACTAATTATCACCTGCTCGCTTTCATTAGCAGCAATTAAAGCGCTTCCAGGCCTCCCAAGGGGCTTGGCGTTAACCCTTCCCCTTCTCCAGCCTATTGCTCCCATCAACAAGCGCGTGCAATGCAAGCCTTGGGACACCAGAGGGCAGCAGAATCCCACCGCGACCTTGTTCCAGTAGAATTGTAGGATTGTAGCATTGGAAGGGACCCGGGGGTCATCTAGTCCAACCCCCGGCAATGCAGGAATCATAGATTTGAAGGGACATGGAGATACCCAACTTCAGCCTTTAACAGTCTTCTTGGCCTTTAACAGTTGTGTGTGACAGTCAGGAGTTCAACAGGAGTTATTTTTCTTTATCCAGGGAGCCCAGAGTTGAAGAGAGGTTCACCGGTTGAACTACTGCCTGCCACACAGCTCCCAAGGGTCCAGATTCCAACTGGTGAGGGTTGCCAAGAAAGACTTGAAACCAGTTGATCGAATCCTACTCTGTGCAATGAACAAATGCAAGATACGTTGCAGACTGATGTGGTCTTGGGAGAGAGATGAAACCCGAACGTTTTAGAAATGTATCTTAACATGGGGAAAATACTTAGTTTAGCATACACTGATCTCAATTCAATTAATTCTTTGTGTTTAAATCAAAAGGACTGAACTGTGCAAAACTGCTTATGCACAAATATGGCATAGAATGAATTTGACTGTGTAAAATTTAAAATATGTTAACTAAATAATCATAATAATCAACTCAGTAAGTACTTAATTTGTGTCCAGTTCTGGGCACCACAGTTCAAGGAGGACACTGACAAACTGGAACGTGTCCAGAGGAGGGCAACCAAAATGGTCAAAGGTCTGGAAACGATGCCTTATGAGGAACGGCTAAGGGAGCTGGGCATGTTTAGCCTGGAGAAGAGGAGGTTAAGGGGTGATCAGCGGCGTAGCGTGGGTTGTCAGCACCCGGGGCAAGGCAAGTAATTTGCGCCCCCTAACCCGGGGCAAGGCAAGTAATTTGCGCCCCCTAACCCCTAACCTGCCGCCGCTGCCAGCTTCTTCTTGCTGCTGCCTGGTCTGGTCTGGTGTGGTTCTCTCCCGCGCTCAGCGCTGCGCTGGGCGGCCGCTGCACTGTCCCTCCCCAGATAGTCCCGCGCTCTCTCTCCGCACCGCACGCCTGGCACCCACCCCTCCACAGTGGGCGGCGACCCAGCGGCTCGGATCGGATTCGCACAGCCAGCACTGCAGTGAGAGAGAGTGAGTGAGCCAGGTAGGGGCAGAGAGCTGCGAGTGCGAGCGCGCCCCCCCAGATGTTGCGCCCGGTGCGGCCGGCCCCCCCTGCACCCCCCACGCTACGCCACTGGGGGTGATATGATAGCCATGTTCAAATATATAAAAGGATGTCACATAGAGGAGGGAGAAAGGTTGTTTTCTGCTGCTCCAGAGAAGCGGACACGGAGCAATGGATCCAAACTACAAGAAAGAAGATTCCACCTAAACATTAGGAAGAACTTCCTGACAGTAAGAGCTGTTCGACAGTGGAATTTGCTGCCAAGGAGTGTGGTGGAGTCTCCTTCTTTGGAGGTCTTTAAGCAGAGGCTTGACAACCATATGTCAGGAGTGCTCTGATGGTGTTTCCTGCTTGGCAGGGGGTTGGACTCGATGGCCCTTGTGGTCTCTTCCAACTCTAGGATTCTATGATTCTATGATTCTAATTTATTATTCCCATTCCAGATGGTCATCGTTATAAGAACCATTCTTTAATTTTAAGAACCGGTGTCTGAGTTTGCTCTTCTCTCATCATCCGATTTTCCTTTTGTGTCATGTCTTATGGATTGTGTGTGTGCGCGTGGGAAAGGACGGCCTCTTTTTAATTTTGGAACCCATTTTGGATTAAGGGTTGGGTACAAAGGCTCTAAGTAGGTAAAGAACATGATACAAATAATAGTCAGGAGCAGCTTCTCTCTCTTTTTATATATTTTAGAATATATCTTTATTGATTTAAAATAATATCATACAAATACATTACAAATAGTTACAACAAAATTTCACACAAAAATGAAAATGAAAAAGGAATAACAAGAATAAAAATAAAAAGCAAAGAAGAATTAACATTAAAATAAAAGAATATTGGTTGTATTATCATATCTTGACCAATAAAGTCTTCTAGAACAAAAAACTTCCGGGAGCAGCTTTTCTCAGCACTCTTGAACTGTGTAGCCAGATGGGTGGGGTATAAATAATAAAATTATTATTATTATTATTATTATTATTATTATTAGCCCACTCGACAAGCGAAGAAGCCCATTTGCTGAGCTGAGCCCTGGCATTGCACAAGAGGAGATGCCAGAGGGGAAGTCTGTGTGGCACCCTTCCTGGCATCACCCACCCACAAGCAGCCGCAGGCTCAGCCTCACCCCCTGCCCTACTTAGTGTCTGCCAGTATCTGTGGCAGCCCTGTTGGGATACTGCCGGGAAGACGGGGGCATCAGGCAGGCATCGGGCAGGCCCCCAGTTGGCTCCAGCTGGCAGCCGATCTCCCTTGGAGCAGCATCAATCAGCGACACGAGCCTCAGATATGTTTAGAGACCCGTGCACGTTCTATCAGCAGAGTGTGTAAATCTTCTCACAGCAGAAGAGGCGGACAGAGAAATGTGCAAGCATAATGTACAGAGGTACCTCGCAAGACGAATGCCTCGCAAGACGGAAAACTCGCTAGACGAAAGGGTTTTTTGTTTTTTGAGCTGCTTCGCAAGACGATTTTCCCTATGGGCTTGCTTCACAAGACGGAAACGTCTTGCAAGTTTGTTTCCTTTTTCTTAAAACCATTAATACAGTTGTGACTTGACTTCGAGGAGCAACTCATAGCACGCGGTGTGGTAGCCTTTTTTGAGGTTTTTGAAGACTTTGGTGATTTTTGAAGCTTTTCCAAAACTTTTGCGACACCGTGCTTCGCAAGACGAAGAAAACCGCAAGACGAAAAAACTCACGGAACGAATTAATTTCGTCTTGCGAGGCACCACTGTACAGCATTTTATTCAGCATAGTTCAGGAACAGAGGAAAACATGTCTGCTTCCCTTCGTCTCCAGCAAAACAACAGTAACACAAAAGCTATATACAAACGGAAGTTCCCAGCAGACTGTGCTGGAAGTAAACAGGCATGTGACACACAACAGTCATGCCTGTACCCTTTTAAGGTGGAACGGGACTATATCCTAGCAAGCCCTAGCGTGGTGCAGTGGTTAGAGTGTCAGACTAGGCCCTGGGAGATCAGGGTTCGAATCCCCACTCAGCTGTGCAACTGTCACTGAGACCAGGGTTCGAATCCCCACTCGCCAACCTCACAGGATTGTTGTGGGGATTAAAGGAAGAGGAGAAGAACCACGTAGGTCATCTTTTGCTCCTTGGAGGGAGGAAGGAGAGTCCACCATCTTCCAAGGGAGTCCATTCCACAGCTCCCACTGTCAGAAAGTTCTTCCTAGTGTTACACGTGTGTGTGTGTGTGTGTGTGTGTGTGTGTGTGTGTGTTAGTATTTTAACTTTGTGTATGTTTTAATGCTTTTCCATTTCCATCACTCCACCACTCCCGGTTTTATGGTTGTTGTAGTTTTTAAATCATTTTTATTAATTTCCCAATAAAAAAAATCCAATTAATATATCTAATCATAATACTTCAATTAAAATAAAAAAAAAAACTAAAATAAAAAAGACCAAATTATAGCCCAAATTATATTTATTAATTTTCTGAAGCTCCCCACAGTCTGGATCTCTGAAGCCTATCTCCACATTTTAGTCCTGCTTCTCCTCGTCGTTTCCATATTTTCCACATTTCAATTTTAACGCTTCATAATTCTTCCGATTTTATGGTTTTGTCATTTTGTAAACCACTTCGAGGTACTTCTTATTAGCAATTGAGCGGTGTATAAATGTTGTGAAATAAATAAATGCTGTAAAACAAAAATAATTGATCTCAGGGCTGTGGGTTCGAGCTCCACGTTCGGTGAGAGATTCCTGCATTGCGCGGGGTTGGGCTAGATGATCTTTGGGGGGCCCTTCCAACTCTACAGTTCTATGATTTACCGCTCTGTGAAAGAGTCGTTTAAGCTTCCGCTGCAGACACCGAAATGCTTTGGGCCATCGGAAAAAGCGTTTTCTCAGCTGGATCCCTGAACAGGGCGGCTCAGTTCCTCTTGAACCCTCAAGTCTCGCCTTCCTTCCCTCCCTACGTCAAGACTCAGGGCCCTGATTTCTGGAGAATAGGCATGCTTTGGAGATTCCCCCCGCCTCCCAGCTGTTGCAGGAACTGCCTCATGAGATCTCAGCATCTCCTGGAAAAGTTGCACAAGCTTCACTGATGTCACTGCCTGAATAACGTCAGAGAGTGGGGGCGTCAGCATTTGAACCCAGAGCCAGCAGGTTTGCCACTGACTGTCTCACCGTCCCTGTTTGGGAGGGTCAGATTTTGAGGCAAAAAGGTCTCTTCGGACAACTGGTTTCATTTTAGCAGCTTTACCAAAACCCACAAGACGTAACCGGCTGTACATTTGAATAAATTTATACTATTCATTGTATTAAATTGTAGATTTCAGCAGAAGTAGCTCATAAAGTTCAATGGAAAAAGGAGGAGACCCAGTGGATCAGTTCATTCTCTAATCAGTTCATGCATAAGGTCCATATATGTGTAAGTGTCTATTCCACCTGTCTGTTCATAGAGTCCAACAATCCACACAAAAGGTTGTTAAGGTTCCACAGAATCCTTTCACAGAGTCTAAGACAAGGATTTCCGGAATATTAGCCTTGTTTCGCCGTCCTGGGCTTCATCAGTAGTACAAGCTCATATATGATATCACAGGACAGTGGATCTTATAGCATAGTAGTAGCTGCTGTTGAAATCTACAATTTAATACAATGAACAGTATACTTTATTTATTCAAACGTACAGCCGGTTATGTCTTGTGTGTTTATTGAATATGTTTTGAGTAACAAGAGGTTCGTTGTAGTTCTGCTTTACCAAAACCACCAAAAATTGTGAGGATCGGGTGGCAGTTTCATGGGGCAGAAGAGGGGTGAGCAAATTTGGGCCACTCGGGACTGTACCCCAAGTTTGCACATCCTTCCCAGGCCACACCCCTCTTCAGATATGCCTCTCACATTCCTGGAGTGTTTTTGCCTCTTGCTTGTCCCTTACTCTTGTGTAAGAGTAAAATCACCCAGAAGAGACTGTGGCTCTCAGTGAGAAGAAGGATTCCCATCCCTGAAGCAGAATCTCTGTTGATATTTCTTCTGCAAGGCATGGCAGACTCAGTCATTTTTCCCATCTCGGCAAACTCACAAACCTTAACTTGCCATTCTGCATCAATCAAAAATTCTACACAGAATGGGAATGCCTAGGGGTATAATGAAGAAATATGGTGTTAAAGGAGAACTCTTAATGGGCAATAGTTAAGCGTGTAAGGACAAAAGAAATAATTATAATTTAACAGTTTTCATGTTGTTCTATTTGGTTAAAGCAACTAGAAAAAATATATTATGATGGGAAGATCTTACACAGGTGAAGGGAAGCAGTGGGGAGGAGGGGAGGGTTAGGCTGAATTTGGGAAATAAAATAATATACGGGACAGCAAAGGATATAATAGATTCTTATAAAATAGTAATATATTGTAACCAGAATAGAAGTTCAAAAGGGGAAGTAAATGTATTTTTAGTATTTTCATTATTGTAATAGTTATTATTATTTCTTATTGGTAGAAGGCCTCGGTCCAGTATACCTGAAGGAGCATCTCCACCCCCATTGTTCCGCCCAGACACTGAGCTCCAGCTCCGAGGGCCTTCTGGCGGTTCCCTCACTGCGAGAAGCGAGGTTACAGGGAACCAGGCAGAGGGCCTTCTTGGTGGTGGCACCCGCCCTGTGGAACGCCCTCCCATCAGATGTCAAAGAGAAGAACAACTACCAGACTTTTAGAAGACATCTGAAGGCAGCCCTGTTTAGGGAAGCTTTCAATGTTTGATGTATTACAGTATTTTAATATTTTGTTGGAAGCCGCCCAGAGTGGCTGGGGAAGCCCAGCCAGATGGGCGGGATATAAATAATAAATTTGTTGTTGTTGTTGTTGTTGTTGTTGTTGTTTAGGCTTCTTCGTTTTGCTGTCATTATAATTTTCTTAAGTCAGTAATAATAATAATAAAGACATGGCAGACTCAGCAACACAGGGGAAGTTTGGGTCCTGATCCTTCATAGAATAGAATCATAGAATTGTAGAATTGGAAGGGACAACCAAGGCTCATCCAGTTCAACCCCTGCAATGCAGGAATCTTTTACCAGATGTGGCACTCGAACCCACAACCCTAAGATCTACCACCTGAGCTTCCTCTCTCTCTCTCTCTAAGGCTAAGAGATGGCGACTGGCCTACAGTCACCCAGTGACCCTCATGGCTGAGAGGAGATTCGAACCCAGTTCTCCCAGGTCCTAGTCCAACAAACTAACCATTGATTTATGCACTGCTGACTGCACTGCCAGCCAGTGTTGGCACTATTGAACTGGA